GGGAAAGAGAGAGAATTAATGCATTACCCTGGAGCAGGATCCAACATTCTCATCCCAACGCCACACTGCCTATCCTTCTGCACTCCTCAGTAGAAGGCCAGCATCTGCCCCGTGGCCATACTACCCTTGTGGTTCAGGCCCCAAATGTTTGGCCCTGTTCCTCTCTTAAACTCTCTCTCAGCTCTCAGGCTGCTGTTCCCACCTGGAGAGGCCAGAGTCCTCACCTTCAGTCACTGCAGTCCCCAGGTAAACAGCTAGGAAGGTGCTGGCTTTTCCAGCAGGACTTCTTTTCTCATTCTATCTGCTTTTCCTTCCCTGGCCTCTACAGGCACTTATCACAAGTCAAGAAGCAGGAACAAGTGTGAATTCCACATAAGGCTGTTTGATGACTTGAAGAATCTTAAATAGAAAAGGCCTGAGATACCAGCCACGCCCAACCTCTGGACTCAACCTCTGAAGTCTAGGGGTAGGAGAGCAAAGAATTAGAGGAAAGGTCACAGACCCACACGAGATGAGCCCTCACGTTCCCATCCACCTAAGCACAAAGACCAGCCCTGACCACTCACTCACTACAAAATTTCCCCTAAGAGACCAATCACTGGGTAACCCCTCCTGCAAATTTGTTAGAAGCAGCAGCAATATCCCCAGTTCCCAAGCCCAAATGACTTGCACCTAGGGCCTGGGGTAGCACATGGAGATATGAGGATAAGTGAGTGTCCAGGGGTAAGTATGGGGAGAACAGACCCAGGGAAAACAGATTGGTGGGAGTGGGGGTGGTGTGTGTGAGAGAGAGTGAGAGAGTGAGAGTGAGAGTGAGAGTGAGAGAGTGAGAGTGAGAGTGAGAGAAGCAGCAGCAGCAGAAGCAGGTTGTAGGGCGAAGGAAAGTCAAATCGCTCTAGCAGCAGCACTAAGAAAATGGGGCTGATACTGGATTCCTGCAATACCATGAACAACTCCGAGGTCTCTCTTGGCACGTGGGGGAGATACGTGGCCCCAGATTTTACTTCCTAATTAGGTTTTACATAGGCTGGAGACCATGTGTGCTTCTTTAGCTTTTCCTGAGAGCATATAACCAGGAGAAATACAGATAGTCGTTCATATTCACAGGGAATATCTAAAGGTCCATATGTATGCATTCTCATTGCCCCCTATTTTTAGGAGGCAGAAAGGGGAGAGATCACAACCTATTTAGAAACAAGATAACTGGAGCCCAGAGAGGGTATGTGATCCGCTTGAGGACATATGGCAGGCAGAGACTGGAGCTACCATAGTGCCATTCCCTCTCAAGAGATGAGCTAGCAGGCTCAGAGAAGTCAAGGCTGATATCCCAAGACAGAGCTGGTAAACATATTGTTTTTTTTGTTTTTTTGTTTTTTGGGCCATGTGGCATGCGGGATCTTAGTTCCCCAACCAGGGATCGAACCCGTACCCCCCTGAAGTGTAAGTGCAGAGTCTTAACCACTGGACCGCCAGGGAAGTCCCCAGAGCTAGTAAACATAACAGCTAGGATTTGGATTAAATTTCTCTGACACCAAAGCCAAAGCAGTGAACCCACATACTATGTGACCTCACCAGGAATCAATCCTGACCCCAGGCCCATCCTGCAATGTTGGAGGCCATGGGATCACGGAGAACCTAGCCCTCCTCTGGGAACCACCCCTAACCTGAGGGTTGGCTGGGAGCACAGAGAGCTACCCAAGGCATACATTGTAGGATCTGGGGCTAGAGCTGCCCGTTTCAGTGGCTAATACCAGGTAAGTGAGGGGTGCTATTAAGCAGGGGCAGAGATGTCTGCTTGCTCCAGAGATGGCTCTTAGGCTCTCCGGTTGAAGTAGGAAGAGCCTACAGAAAGGTGCAGACAACTATTTCTTTAATCCTCAAAAATCTAAGAGATCTTGTTTCTGGCTTAAGGGCCTGGCTATAGAGGAGGCTGTACCAGGCCCTAGTGGCCTCTAAAGTCCTTGGGCTACTCCCTAGCTGCGGGGCCAGCCAGGGCCTGTGAGCACCATCTAGGAATCCCAAGGTCTGGCCTCTGCTTGCCCTCAGCATGAATCCTTCTCAACTCCCAAGGGCAACTTGCCTCCAACCTGTCAGCACTGGAGGGTATGAACTGGATTCTGGTGGTGGTGATGAACACCCAGCACCCGGTGGGGAGGTGAAGGCTCTTAGGCAGCCACAGACCAGAAGCAGATCCTGTTCCCCAGGCCACCGGAGGCTCTCCCCGCCTGACATCCGTGAAACAGCAGCGCAGGCAGGGGGCAGGGGGCAGGCGGCAGCCAGAAAGGCAGCTGCTCTGCTAGAACTGGAAGTCCAGCATTGGAGCTTTGAAGGGAGAGGATTTTACAGGCTTGGGCTTTGGACGGGCATCCCTGTCCAATTTTCTTTCCTGACCAGAGACAAAAACAGATGACAGGAGCAGGGAGGGGACAGCAAGGAACCCTCGGTTCTGCTTGGGAGCACAGCCCTTGGGCTAACCCAGCTCCGTTCTGGCTCTGGTCTCCACCATACACCTACTTTCACTACTCCACTGTTCTGCTTTCAAAGGGTTCTCATGTCAGGCAAAGGCTTGGACAGAAATAGAATCTTTTATAGCTACAGTCCAGCCAGCTTTCCCTAAGGGTGTGTGCCCCAAGAGACCCATGGATGGGTTTTAGAGGCCGGGGAGAGTGAACACACTCCAATGCACTTCCTGAGCAGTCCATCAGGCCCCCTTCATACCTCAGGGTCCAGGAGCAGTGAGGTATACTTAACTGAGGCACTCGGGAGGGGCAGGGAGCCCAGGCCAGCTCCCTGGGGCCTGCTGCTGCCTCATTCCTAGCCAGCACTCAGTGGCTCACCAGCTTTTGATACGGGGCGGGGGCGGGGGGGGGCATCCTGTCTTCTCAAGCAAGACACTTACAGACAATTGTTAGGGAGCTCATCCGGGAAGCTGAAAGGGAGAGAGGAGTCTGTGTGCAGGACAGCCCGTTCCTGAATACTGCCACAGCCTGTTACCATCTGCCAGCTGCCAAAGTCTGTGGAGAGAGAGGATCCGGGCAGGGGATGGTCCACTGATCTGGGGCAGAGAGGAGAGAGAGGGGAGATGATGTAGTCAGTCATATGCCTGACAGGGGAGGC